GAAATAATAGTTTGTAGTTCAGGTAGTATTGGCAAGTTATAGTATCTGAGAAATCTGTTAAAGCATAGGTGTGATGAATGTGGAAGAGGTCTTGGATCTGGGTCAGTGGTGTGTTCAGTATTATAAAGGTTGAGACGAACATCTTGTGCAAAGTAATAATATAAATTGTAGATTCAGTCATCTCTAACCAAATTAGGAATAGTTTCTGATTTAATGGAGCTGATGTCAGAAGTAGAGAGGGGAATGAAGAGAAAGTATTTGTAACTTTCAACTGGTGTTGTAAAATAATCACGTCATGCAAATCTGTGTTCATATCCAGATATATCTATACCAACCCAACCACTATTACCTGAATCACCAGATCCAAGTTCTAATGCTACAACAGAGCCCTACTACCACAACTGCTCTACTAATACATTAACAGATCTCCTTTTAACCGATTCATCTTTAGTATCTGAACCTCCCACTACAGTCAATACAAATCATTAACAGACCCAACACACACTACCCAACAGCTCACAAGATCTTATATTCAAACTAAATATTGCAACACATAATATACAAGGATACAATATGCAAGAAAAGAGACTACTATAGAAAGATTATTGTCTAACCAATAATCTATATATTGTTAGTTTAACAGAAACCAAAATTGCCGATAGCACACTTACAAAATTTTTCAATTCTCAACAATACAGATATTATTGGTCTAACTCACCAACTGCTAAAGAAGGAACATGTTTAATGCTTTGCAATTATATTCAACTCTATATACACAAAATACTCATCCATCCTGGTGAAGCAATTGCTATCGATCTGTACTTCAAACATGACTACAAACTCAGAATTATCTCTGTATACCTATCATCAACGAACACCATATCACGGAAACTTACACAAGATACAACAATCACTTGGATACAACAAGCATTATCTAATAATCTGCAACCTATTATTCTAGGAGACTTTAATGCCAATAATGACACCACTATATCATCCACAATTAAATTCCAACTTCTTAACTACCTATACAACACCAACATGTATGACTTGGCAAATCATACAAACAACCTACAAAACACATGGCATAGCACTAGATACCAAAGTAGAATTGATTACATTTGGATAAATGATAATCTTAAACCTTACCTATATACTTTTAAAAATGATAACTCACTATCCTCAACCCATAGTGATCACCAAATTCTAATAACCAACTGGATATTCCCTTTCACACTAGCCAGAACAAACTACAAGTCCAAATGTAAGCGTAGAGTTTACAATTATAAGCAAATAACCAAAGAACAATAGGAAAACTTTACTGACCAAATCAACTTTAATATGACTCGACACAATATACCAATCTCTATTACAACAACTGAAAGTCTTGAAAAAACTTGGCACAAAATCTATACTTATATTATTCAAGCTGTGACACAACATATTCCTAACAGGAAATATACTGTTAAACATCTATTTCACTCCTTTACACCTAAAACAACACAGCTTCATAAAGATCTTAAAACTATTGGATACATTATGCATCACACTAAAAAGTTCTTTTCTCATAATACTTGTCTACCTAACAATATCTCCAACCTAGTTGATTACATCAATACTGCTCATGGCTTCTCTATTAACTATCCACCTACTGAATAATCTGAACTAGTAATATGGCTTCAACACACTAAAACATACTGGAAAACACTTTATAATGCTAGAAATCTAGAAAATGCACAACATTTACAAAAACATATAAACAAAGCTATTGATAAAAGATGTGACCAATTGATATCTCAGCCTACTAAAATGATCAATAGTATACTCAACAGACACAAAGAGGCTGTATACTTTCAGAACATTCGAACAGACAACAATATCATTACTGACATAACAGATATTAAGCAACATATTACAAATTATTTTAATGAATAAACAGCACACCAACCTTATAATAATACAGTATTCAATCAATACTAGCAAACAGAATATGAACCTATTCTCTCTATAAACTCATCATGGTATAATTCTATACTTGAAGAGATCAGTACAGAGGAGGTATTACAAACCATACAACAACTACCAAATAATAAGGCCTGCAGGCCATCTGGAATCAGTTATGAAATGATTAAACATACAGGCCCTAGTATGTTACTTGCAATTACTGCTTTACTTAACCGATGTTTTACTACACACTATATACCCAAGCAATGGAAAAATAATAGGATTTATCTGATATCAAAAAAGCCCCAGTTTGATGGCAACCTCAACAATACCCGCCCCATTAGTCTTATTGAACATATAAAAAAACTTTATACCAAAATCCTCACAAACTGACTAACCAAAGTTTTTATTAAATATCCTATTCTTAATCCTCACAACTATGTTGCACTTCCTGGCAACTCTACCAATAACCCAATTCACATACTTAACAATTTCCTAGAAGATGCAAAATGTAC